TTTGCTGCATTGGGGGGTGGGGGTGGGTAGGATAGTTTATTTTTCCTGTAATACTTCATTATAGTTTTTTTTTAAGACAAAGCTAATTGAAAGGGGTGCTGAGCAGAGTTACAACGAGGGATTACAAATGATTACTTTTTTTCTTCTGCAGTTCGGTGCCCCCTCCAGCAGACGGTGCTCTAGACGACCGCCTAGCTCGCCTATGCCAAGAGCCGGCTCTGCAAGTCATATTTGTGTGTCAGTGTGTATGCAGGATGAAAAGCTCCATCATTTATGTGCAGAAGCAGAAGTAGAAAAATACAACAAGGCATCTCCCAGAAACCAGGTCCTGCTGGCTTCAGGTGGTCTACAATACAGACACAAAACAGCTCACATGTTGGCCTCTTTATAGTTCTGAGTGACAACAACCCAAAGGTTTGTTTTCTTCCCACCAATGTAACATGTCTCCCCTCAGCAGTACTTTACCTCCTTCAGACAGCCCATGAAGTTGTTGCTAACTGGAGATCCAGGCAGATCGGCTGTGCTGGGGCTCCCCCCCACGTAGAAGAAGTCATCTGAACCCAGCATGGTGTAGTCCTCCTGGGTGTAACCTGTCGTGGTCAGAATCCCGTCCACTGATATCGTCACCTGACAAAAAGAAAAGGAGTGTTGAGGACGAAAATAAATCGTTTCATCTTTGATTCTAAACAAAAAAAAAACAGGACTTTGTCACTCTGTCATATCAGATATTTTCTCCTGTGCAACAATAAAACTAATTAACTTTGTGAGAAAAATGCAGAAAAAACAAGCATGTGAACACTGTTGAGTTCCACATGAATCACATGCAAACATGCTGAACAGAGAATGAAGAAAAACAGCTTCCCAAACAGACACAGCTTTAAATGTTTAAATAGTTTAAATATAAAAAGGCACCAGCTTCATTATTTCAATACATATAGATYCAACTTTGTGTTCTGCTTTAATCTTTCAAATCGGAGTGCTAATTTGATCAACAACATAATATAAAAACAAACCTGCATTGATCACATTCTCAAAACTAAACCGTCACAAAAGAGGCTTTCATCARTTTGAAAATAAATCAAACATTTGAAAGAAGTTGGAAAAGTTTTCTTTGTGAATGAGCTTGAAGTAAAAAAAAATGTTTGGAAGAGGAAACCTAAGTGAGCAAACTTTCAAACCCTTTTTTATGCAACTTTAAATTTCCCAGAGAGAAATCCAACAGGATCACACAGACTGAAAGAAACACAACCAGGTGAAGAAAGATGATGAGGATGATATCTACCAAACAGTGGAGCTTGTTTATCAGGTCAGGTCTGTAACCTGTTGGCTTTGCAGAAAGTTGATGTAGACATGAATTTACACACGGGATTATTGGGTTTGTTAAAAAAAATCAAATCAAATCAAATCAACAGGTAGTTAGCAACATGTTTACACAAACAAACAAGGAAAAAAAGAGAAATCAAATAATAAAATGTGAAAATGATGTCATGACTGATAAAKCTCCTTGAAGTTATGATTATTTTACTCATATTGGTTTAATGTTTGATCTAATTGTTAGCAGTACACTATGCCTCCAAAAGAGGCTTCCAGTATATTTATTTATTTAAATTCCATCTTCAGACATCTTCAGAGTTGGGCAAACTTTTCACAAGTTTGCATACAGTGGCGGAGCCAGACGTTTTTCTCAAGGGTGGCCAGACTGGGACCACTGCTCACACAGGGGTGGCCAGACTGGGACCACTGCTCACACAGGGGTGGCCAGACTGGGACCACTGCTCACACAGGGGTGGCCAGGAAAATTACATCATTTTTTACTTGAAAGTTTTCTGTAAATATTTGTGTTTTGGTCATTTTCTTATGTCCTTATACAGGCAGTGACTGCCTTATAAACATGGGCGTCAGAACCATTTTAAAAGTTGGGGGGACATACTGTTGGGGGGTCTATGGGTCCTCCCCCAGAAATATTTCAACAAAATAGATGCCATTTCCTGTATTCTGGTGTATTTTACCAAGTTTTTAAACATACCTACATACATAAACACTTGATTTAATAATTATTTCAGAGACAAATTATTCACTAAACCAGTTCCATCATCCTGTTTTTAAACTCACTGTTACAGCTGAGAATTTATCATATTCAATGACTTTAGGGGTGCCTTTTTACTTTTATATTGTTTTTTTTTTATTGTAACACATGTCATTGTGACAAATAATGACCTTCAACAGCATGTTTAAAATTAATATTAATTTTATCCAATGAACAGGTGCAATATTGATAATCATCAACAGTTAATTTAAAGGGGCATTTCACTTTTTCTGATTTAGTGATAGGCCTACTCATAACCAAAAGGGACAGGGCATCATGGAGCCTTCATAACATAAAATGACAAAAAATAAAACATTTGTCACCATAAGTCCAAAAATTTACACTACGTCAGATTACATAGTCACATGTTCTGTGGAAAATCATCACTTCCTTGTCATTACTCTTCAGTGATAGAGTTTGGTGACGTTTCAAACTGGTAAACACTGCCACCAACTGTTCAGGAGGATTATTACACCCCTAAAAGTTGTTTCACTGTGGAAGGGGTGTGTACAGCAGGGTGGCCAAAGATTGGTCTGTGGTGACTTTGGCCACCCCTGCCCACCCCCTGGCTCCGCCCCTGTTTGCATAAGTTGTCAAATGTTACAGTGTGACAGGGCTTAACAGAACAGAAAGAGGATGATCCAGGTTTCATATTTATGAAACTAAAGACTACAATCTCATCATTTGGCAGGGTTGGAACAAACTTGTCAAAGCTATTTATAAACAGCTCATTTGTTTGACCATAAATGAAACTGACACTCTGGGCCCTCATGCTTCTCATCGACCTCCAACCCCAAGATAACTTCCTCTGGGTTTAATTTACCAAATAAGTTAGGAAACACACCTTCATCTACTTGTACTTTTAATCTCCAGAGAACATTTTTTGTTGTTGTTGTTTTTGGAAAAAGGGACATAATCACCAGTGACCATTACTGCTGGTAAATCATTTTAGTGGTTTGTTTAATCACTTTAAATCCTCAGGATTTTACTGTCCAATTAAAAGATAAGATGATGTTTCTGCTGACGAGAACAAACTAATCCAGCCAATCAAGATAAAACTGTCGATCAGCAGCAGTGCTGGTTCGTCTGCTGTAACGTGAGCTCTTTTCTGACATGTAGTGGGGTTTCCACCTGCCGTTTGTGTCCTACCTGCCGAAGGTTGCGGACCACTTTAACGTCGTGCCACGAGTTGTCATTGAACTTCCCGTTGACGGGCTCCACGATGGCCTCGAAGGCCCCAGAGCCCAGGTTGATGACGAGGGAGACGGCTCCGTCCTTAAGCGCCAGGTTGACGTAGTCGGCCGACTTCCCCGTGTGAAGGATGAGGCCGTTGCGCTGCCACGTCTTGAAGGACAGCGTGATCTCGTCGCTGCTGCTCTGGATCGGGTTCTGGGAGAGGTCGTAACAGAAGTACTCCGAACCTCGGAAAGTGGCCACGTTCTCTTCTCTTGCTGTAAGAAGATGAAAATAAAACTTCAAAGAGAGGAAGTCAGGTCCAGTTAGATTTATTTGTTCTTTGGTTTTTAGGATCAGTTACTGAAGAGAAATGCAGTTTATTAGCAATTTGAGTTAGTGGAGTCACATCAGCACCAGTTTCAACCCATTAGGACATCAAACTCGAGGCCCGTGAGCCAAATTTGGCACGCCGGTGACTCCCATCTGGCCCACCAAGGCGGGCACACACCCCACAAAGAAAAAAAAATACATGGTGATTATACAGTGTGTGTATATATA